GAATCCGAGATTTTGTCGCCGAAGTTATTGTGGCGAGCAAATTTTTCTTCCTCCGTATTTTTCTTCCTCCAAATGAGTTTGAATCCTCGTTTTTTTCTTCCTCCCAAATGTTGTTGTGGAGTTATTTCGCAGTGGAGGCTTGTATTTGTTTGTACTAAATCAGTCCTAAAATAGTTTTGACGTACAAAACGTTAGGAACTTGATATAATAGGTATTACACAGAGTAATCTTGTTGTGGTTGCTGATACTTTCGTATTCGATAACTTCGACTACTGTCGTCCGACATCGACCCCACCATCGTTTCTCTTACTACTCCTACTTATATTAGGTGGGAGAGTCTATTAACTATAGAAATCATAATATAAATGAAATAAAATAAATAAGTAAAAATTATATTAAATTATAATAATCAAAACTGTATAAATGAGAATACTATAGGATTTTATATAAAATATTCCCTGATGAGTGGATGGAGTGATTGCCAGAAGGTCTGTCTACAAAACTCTAGAGTCGATAATACCAAGTAAGTAAGTGATAAACTTTATATATGTATTAATTCTATTGTATTCTAATTTTTAGTTTTGACCATTATTTCTCAATCAATGTCTTATTTGGCCTTTTTTAATGTTGAATACTACATCTGGTAATACAAGCTGTTTACCAAAATCCTTTTTTTTTTGCACTATCTCCTGAACTGGGACAAGTCACAAATCCAAGCATCAAATCTTTCAATGTTATTTCTCTTTATTCAGGCTGAAAACTGAAGAATATCTCAAAGCTTTCAAGCCTTAATTTGTGAATTACTCCAATGAAATAAGTGAAATTAAAAAAAAAAAAACAAAAAAACAATATACCAGACAATGAGTATGAGTACAAGAGACACTCAAACAAGATTTAAAGAACACTGTGATAGCAATGAAGAAGAGGATAATAGTCCAGCTAATTTATAGAATATGAACAATCTCAGATTTTCTGACTTTTAACAAATCAATACAGACTTAACAAGTTACCAAATCATTAAAAGCGGATATCAAGTTAGAAAATGACAGTTAATCAATTTCTTACTTCTATTTTTAAACTTCATCAAAATGACTGCTGAGTCTTTGTATAAATATTTTATTTAGTTCAGATACATTACAAAATTTTGATGAAAAATTTTTCCATCTTTATATACACAGTATCAAAATCAATGACTTTTTTTTTTTCAAATTTTTACTTAATTCCAAATCAACTTAAAAAAAAAAATAGTTTCAAATTAAGGTAAACAGAACTCCCACCATATATAGATGTCAACACTATGAATTTAAGTGAGGTACTAGACTGTGGTAAGATCACATCTCTTTACAGTTGGAATGGCTAGATGTAACTTTTTTCTTGCACTTTTTGCTTGTGGAACTCAAAATCTTCATCTTGCTTTTCAGTCAACTTTGATCTTTCAAAAATTTAAATGCAATGTCAATCATTATCTGTTGTTTTCTTAATTTCTCTTCTTTTATTGTTCTTGCTTCATGTGGTCTCCATGTGGTCTCTTACCAGATTCAAGCTCTGAGAAGAGGATTTGTTTGGGTAGGCGGATGTCTGGCATTCAGATAGGGGTTTAGTCCACTGAAGATATTGGTGAGTCATAATGGTGTCTAGGCTTTCCTCTCTTTGCATGGAGGAGAACTTGATGTCGCATAACAAACTTTGTTCTGCCACGTGTTCCATAAGATTTGGTGAAATTTCATTTGATGGAATCATTCTAGTTTGTAAATATCATTAAATCCAAAGAATCTGCAATGTTATTGGTCTTGACCTGACATCTTGGCTTCAGTCCCTTCCCCACAATTGTAACATAGCTTCTTTGTGCCTTTTCTATAAATACTTTTATGGGAATTGTTCAGATGAGCTCTTTGCTATGGTATCTAGACTTTATGAATTTAAGTGCAGTACTAGTTTGGCAACAAGTTCTCATCAACTTACAGTTGAATTGACTAGATACAATCATAAGTTCTATGCTAACAATTTCTTTTCTCAAACTTTTTGCCTTGGAACTCTCTTCTGGCTCCATGCTTTCCAGTTAACTTTGATCTTCAAAAAATTTAAATGCAAAGTCAATCATTATCTTCTGCCTTCTTAATTGTTGTTCTTTTATTGACCCCTTTTATTAACAGTAGTTTTTCTCATGTTCTCTAACACTTAGTAACTGCTTATGACCTAGTGGCTTTATTGCCTTGCTTGGGGTGAAATGATTAAAAAAAAAAAAGAAGTCTTCGGAAGAGTATCCATGTCTCACAGAGAGTTGAGATTACAATGGCTCAGTAGATCATGAGCTCGGTGGGTGTGTGTTAGCCCAGGATTGCTGAAGCTGAGTTCCCTGTTATTTCCAGAATTAAATATATATAAATATAAATAATATATAGCATATGTTAACATATAAAACAATGACATTTAAGTTTTTTCCTAAATATTCCTTAGCAGGAAATGCTTATATGATTGCTCAATACCAGAAATAGTGTTCTTAGATATAGACAGTGTGGACATAAGAATCAACACAGCATTGTGACTGTCAGTTTTATGCTTCAATGCGATCTTCAGACCAAGTGCCACAGCTCCTTTAGCTGGCTCTGTTTAAAGGTCACTTTATATATATAATATATATAATAGCTGGCCACTTGTATTCAAGGATACTTGTCCACTAGGTTGGCTAGCCAATCCCTATTGCAGATGCTTGCTTAGGCACATTTGTGTTTGCTCAACACCCACAGAGCCAACCCGTGGTTTATACTGCAACTATGCTGAACAGACCTTAGAGTTTCTGGGACAGAGTATGTTATCTAATGTGATCAACAATTTGAACAAAGTCAGCATTTTTTGTATTTCTGGCCACGATTTATTATATTTGTATAACACAGCTATCGACAAATATCAATATGTTCCATCTACCCAATTAAATCATTTTTTCTTGGGGTCAACTTGTATGGTTTTCAAATTTGCTTTCCAAAATGCTGCACACAAACACACACATATATATATATATATATATATATATATTTTTAAAAAAAAAAATTTAAGTTAAGATATAAAATTTCGTTTCTTATAGATATTTTTATTTTTTATAAAATAGTGCTCAATGTAAATTTTTTACATAACATTTTATGATTATAAATTAATTGATTTAAAATATTGTTTTTTTTGCTACACTAATTCAAATTTTCTTCCATAGCTTCTATTTTTGAAATGTCTTTATAACTGTTAAATAAAATAACCATATTTTTAAATCAATTAATTTATAATATATATATATATATATATATATATATATTAGGAAAATTAATGACAAAGTGGAAACATTTTTTTGCATGACATGTTTTGTACATTAGGACTAAAGTAATGTTTTTAGTGATGTAATTATATATGCATATGAGGCGGAGTGAGAATATAAAATGCAAATGTTTGTTATAATTATGTATAGATAGGAAAAACTGAAAATGTTGGGATGCTGAAATTTTAAATTTAATTTTTTTAGATGTGTCTGGATAAATTGTCTAACCAGTTTCATTAATTTCTTTATGCTTTTGTTATTGTTTTTAGTACTTTTTATTAAGTATTTAATTTTTCAAACATTGTTCTGAAGTATAAAAAATTATATATCATTTTCTCCCATATATGTAAGTGGACATTGAGGTCATGTTTGATCATCAAAAATTAAATGCAATGTTATTCGTTATCGGTCGTCTTCCTGATTACTCTTCTAATGTTCCTGCTCCTTCTTAACATTTTCTGTTTTCAAATTCTTTCACACCCAGTAACTTCCTTCTGTCTTAGTGGCTTTACTCTCTTGCTTGGGGTGAATTTGATTAATATATATATATATATATATATATATTTAAAGATATTTTTTTAGGTACAAAATTTAATGATCGAAATAAAAGTATAAAACTTAATATTATTTTTCACATATTAAAAAAAAATTTTTTTTTTTAAATTCCTTTTGATTGTACATTTTCTGTGTCAATTTTAAATCTCCTGTTGAAGCCTGAAGAAAGGGGAAGAAACTGGTTGCTTCACCCATTTTTTTTTTAATATGTCTCAAATTTTTAATTATTTTTTTTTAGTTTTATACTTTTATTTCAATATATATATATATATATATATATATATATATATATATATATATTATATATTTTCTTCATCATTTAGATATTTGGGGCTACATATCCTAACATCGTTTTGCCTTGAGGTAGAATCCTATGATTAGTCCAGATTTTATTCTTTGATTTTGGTGGGAATAGAAATTCATTTTTGCTAGTGGGTTTATGATAAACTTTAAAATCTAATTTCTTATTGTTAATAAGACAAATCATAGGATTCTACTTTAGGACCCTTAGGATATGTAGCCCTGAATAGCTAAACAAAGAAGAGAAATATATTGATAAAACATTCATACATATATATATATATATATATATATATATATATATATATATAAACAAATAATGAAATAGATCATTATGCTTCTCCATACCGTTCTATAACTGAGTTTCATGTTGCTAGCAATCTTCAGGTGTAAATCTTTGTTTCAAGCAACAAATATAGCCCTTTTTCATAGTTTTGTCATTATAGATAAGTATTTTTTCCTAAAGTATATAAATAAAACTTAATGACCCATTCCTTTCACTAATTAGAGACAGGAATGGTTGTTCAAACTTGAATCTTCTAATAACTGTCTCTTCTTTTTCTTATGTTTCTTCTTTCATTAATTTTTTAAAACTTCATTTCACTCTTTACATTTTGCCTCTGATCTATTGATACGAAAGAATAATCTGAGTCTGTAACATTCTTACAAACATTCAGGATTCACATAGATCCTTCATATGTTCTCAGATCGATTTAAATATTGCAATATTAACAAAACCGATAACATATTTATAAATCAGATATTGCTTCCAGATCCAAATCCATGGGCTCCTCACTCCTGTTAAAGGTACCCCTCCTTGATAGAACATATCTTCAGAGGCTTATGGCCACATCAGGTTGAAACAGCAGCTCTTGTATGATCACAAAAGTTTAGAAATGTTGAGCCTGGTCAGTACTTAGATGGGTGACTGTGTGTGAATACCAGGTGCTGTAAGCTTGTGTGTGGTGTAATGGATAATGGCTTAGAATTGTTAATCAGAGAGCCAAGTTCCAATTTCTGTTAGGTTTGTTATATTCACTTATGTGCAAATACCGTTGGGAAAGGTATGAATCCATGTCTTCTCCCCCTGCTATGGGTTAATTAGTAAAACTAGTATTACTAAAACCATTATTAATTAAAGAAAAAACAAGCAATTCTTACAATCTAAAAATATTTTCTCACTTTAAATAACTTACAAAAGGTTGATAAACTGTAGAAAACAAATTAATCAGTATCTTCAGCGGCATAGCTGTGCTTACCATACTTGACCAACTGTGGGTTGAGGCTATTTAACTTATAGTTGGGGGTTTTGAATTCAGAGTTGTTCTTCTCCTAGACCAGTTACCACACAAGGTTATAGTCTGTTTTACTATTTACCCATAGCTGAGGAGAGAAGGAATGGATCCATACAATTCCCAAACATATTTGCATGTAAGTAAATGTAACGAACTCGACTGGAATTTAAACTCGGTTTTCCCATTCCTCAATCTGAAGAGCTATCTCTTAATCAACCATGCATCCATAGATATTGTTTACCTATAAATATATTATTCAGAGTTACTTCAACTCATATCTGCCTGATGTCAGTTTAAACAAGTTCAGGCATGTTTGAATGTAATAAATTCTATTGGAATTGGAACTCAGCTCTTTGATTTCTCATTCTTATCCATTACAATACCCACACATTCATCCACATACATACATACATACATACATATATATATATATATATATATATATATATATATAGTTCAAAACATTTTTTTCAGGGCACAATCTATTTTTTTCTTATTATAATATTATATTTAGTAGGTACATGTGTTTGAGTAGGCCTCCCTATTTTTTATTGCATCAAATGCATATCAAAGGGGTCAGATCAAGCTGTTTTTGCACCCCTGCCTGAAAGTTTTTTTCCCTTTGATTTAAATTAAATTTAAATTTGAAGAAAGGAATGACTCCTATCCAAAATATAGAAGGAGAAAACCAGAAAATGGATTTTTTCAGAACACAATCTATTCTTTATTATTATAATGTTAGGTACATGTGATTGTGCAGGCCTCCCTATTTTTTTTAAAAACAATCAATTATTTACACTATTTATATTTGGACTATTGTTCACATCTTTGTTGTTTGAATTCACAATCACTATATCACCAAATTTGCAAACTAATGCTTTTATCCACTAGACTCCAATCCATGGGTCAGGCAGTGTGTACTTGCACTCGATGGAAACAGGCAAGCAATAACTGACGAATAATCAATGAAAATAAGAACTAGATGATATTCTTAGACATGAGCAGTGGAATGAGAACAGCCTATCTTCATAGATTAAATCAAGGGTTCAGTTCAGAATTTCCTGTAGGTTACCTAGATTGATAAACACCTGAGGATCTAGCAGCTCTAGAACAACCAGACTACCTGCACTTATGATCCTGGAATGAAGCAGTCAGACTATCTGCACATGTGATGATAATAGTGATGATTTGAGCAGAACCATCCACATTTTTCTGAAGAACTGAATACAACAGAAAACTGGTGTGCATAGTGTGCCATGGGGTCCCCAAACACTGCTCTTAAGGTTTGGATTCAGAGTAGACCTTCTCCTAGACTGGTTGCCAACTATTATTTGGTTCATAGTTGAGGAATAATTATATAATATTAATAATATATATTAATATTATGGAATTATTATTCTCTACATATAACATATAAAAGTGTGTGCAATACCCTGCCCTCATCAGCCACCAATCAGGGGAGATAACACAGTTTATGTGGCTAAGGTGGTACTGCCACCCCTGGTGCTACCAACAGTTCTTGTCAACAGACAGAGTATTGTTTTTGTATATGTGTCCATCTCTTGAAATTTCTTTTTACAACTGCAACTGATATTTTCAAGACTGTGTTAAAATACACACTGCGCTCGTAGTGACTGTTCTTCATAACGTAGAATGGAAGGTAAACAGTTGTATTTCATGCTGGAAGTATCATTATGTTGCAAGCATGGTTTTATTTAATTTTATTTATTTGGGATCTTGACCAGATCCAACTCAATGTCTATTGAGCTGTGGTCTGGAGACAATGTGAAGCAAGTTTTAGGTTCCGGCCATAGAAAGGAAGGAAATGATTGACTGTCCAAGGAATTATATGACTTTTGTTTGATATGAAAAACAGGAAACAAAAAGTAATCACATTCTGAGAAGCTTATTTTCCTTCATGAAACTTTCCAACCTTACTTGATCCACAATAAGGTGATTTTTCAAAACAAAATATAAAATTGTTTTCTTTTGTGCATGTCCCTTCAGAACAGTCATGGCTCTCCACAACTTCTTATCCTTTGTAAATCTTAGTAAACTTTGTTCTAGCATCCATTTACTTAAGCTAAATAGGTTATGCGTTGTTTTTCTGTCCTGCTTACCTTCAATATATCCTGTGAGTATCAGATTTTCCAAGCCCTCCTTCCTCATTATGTGCTAGAGAAACCTCAACTGTCTCTTCCTGATGTTAAGTATAACTTTCCTTTTTGTTTCCATTTTCTCTAAAACTTTGCTGTTACTCACATGTTTGGTCCATGGTATCCTCAGCATCCTTCTGTAGAATCACATTTCTGTTACTTCAAGTCTTTTCATTTTTGAGAAGATTGTCCAGCACTCACTGCCATAAAAGAGGACAGATATCACATAACAGTTCAGTACTCTTTTGTTTCTAGTAAAGTTTTAGTATTTCTTAGTACTCTGCTTAGATTTTAGAATACATTTTTGGCTATCCCAATACACACTTGGATTTCAGTGTCACTTTCCTTCATATAAAACACTTCTGAGATATTTAAATTTCTGTATAGTGATCAAACCTTGAATACCGAATGTTTTATGAGCTGTTTCAATGTAAACGATGTTGCATAGTAAAGAAAACTAAAACATCTTTACTACTTTGTTGATGGGGACTTAGAATATGCTGAGGAGTTTTGACAAAATCCAAAAAAGTGTTTGTAATTTAATCGGTCTTGACCTGGCATCTTGACTTCAGTCACTTTCCCACCACAGGGACACAACTTCCTTCTGTCTTTTCTATAAATATTTTCATGGCAATTGTTCTGATGAGCTTTCCTCTTTGATGCCTTGATTGCATGAATTTAAGCGTACTAGATTGGCAACTAGGTCCCACTGTTTTACTAGCTAGATGTAACCATGTGTATTCTATTGTAATAGTTTATTTTTTCACACTTTTCAACCATAGAACTCTTACTTCCCTGCCACCTACAAAATCTTTAAAAATTTTAATGCAACGTCAACTGCCATCTTCTGTCTTTCTGAATCCTTTTAAGGCCATATCATATTGAAACATTGGTTCCTATACGATCACCAAAGTTATGTTGAGCCTGGTCTGTATCTAGAAAGCTGACTACTTGGGAATACCAGGTGCTGTAAGCGCGGATGTGTGGGTGGTGTAATAGATAATTTCTCAGAATTGTTGATTGAAGAGCCAAGTTCCAATTCTAGTTTGGTTTGTTATATTCACATACGTTGGGAAAGGTATGAATCCAGCTTTTCTATCCCCAGCTATGGGTTAATCAGTAAGGTTTATTACTAAATCATTATCTCAAAAAAAAAAAAAAAGAAAAAAAAGTCTTACAATTTTTTGGGCTTTAAATAACCTGCAAAGGTTTGATATCTAGTGAATAATTTGACACTGTTCGAGAAGTAAAAGGTGATGGAAAAATTAATCATGTACCTGTACCAATTGCTAATTTCTGTATTCATTTGTTATATGATACTCTTGAGATATTTTAGTCTAGTCCCACCCCTAAAAATCTTATGGTTAAAAACACATTACTAGTGCTTATTAATATAAAAAGATGCTTGTACAAAAGTTGATTTGAAAGTGTTAAAAAAAAAAAAAAAAAAAAAAAAAAAAAAATAAAATAAAAGCAACTTCAGCATAGTGCATTAGTGTTGGTTTGTGAATTTAGTGACACAGTAATTGTGAGTTCAATCCCTGAGCCAGGCCTCTTGCATTTGAGTCAACTTTGATCTTCAAAAATTTAAAAGCAATCATCTTTTTAATTCCTGTTCATTTATTGTTTTCTCTCCTTAATCATGTTTACTTTTTCTCATATTCTTTCATACTTGGCAACTTCTTGGATCTCAGTGGGTTTATTGACTTGCTTGGAGTGAAATGATTTAAGAAAGAAAGAAGCAATAGATAATTGGACTCAGTGGAAATAGAGCATCCAATAACAGAGCTGTACTAAAAAATAAGAACTAGATGAGATAATTCTAGATATGGGCAGTGGAATAAGAACAGTTTATCTCCATAGATTAAATAAAGGGTTCAGTTCAGAATTCTTTGTAGGTTACCCAGATTGCCATATGTCTGATAAAGCATAATGGTCGAAATGATGTGATAACAACAACAAAGATTGTTCACATGTCCACATATAAATAGTGTAAATAATGATAACTCCTCATTTAAAAAATTCAGACAGATTTTTTGCTACATTCTTTAATTTTTTAAAGCCAAAATTGCAATTATTATATTAGATAGAATTAGCATGGAAATGCCTGGGTTATAAATTCTTAGAATATGCTCAATTTATTTTATAAAAATAAAGCAAGTGAACATATTCTAGTATTTTTTTTCAATAAATAAACAAGTAAAAATAAAAAATTAAAATTTAAGTATTATATTTTCAAGTTAATATTTTTAACTATAAATCTATATCTTTTCAAATTATATCTTGGTTGTTTTTCCTTTGTTAAAAAAAAAGAAAAAATATTTACTTTTGACAAATAAAAAAAAATTCATCATATAGCTACATTGAATCTAGCATTTTGTAGAAACTTCAAGTTTAACAAATTTTATTTTGATTCAAATAAAATTTTAATCAATTCACAGATTTCATTTTTGTTTACTTTTTGAATTTAAAATATTTTATGCAATATAGCACAAAAACTCCGT